CAGCGACAGGAGCGTACAGGCTGGAAAACTACATAGAAAAATAGAAAGGTGGAGGTTTGAAATAAATCGGCCAATAATAGGGAGTTATAGTTGTTTGAAATATGAGATCACTAATCACTATTGTAAATATCAAATTGGCAATTTGTTGTGTACAAAAATATTATTAATTTATTTTTTTCTCCTAAGCGCCTCCTCCCTTGAGGCACTGCTCAAAATATATTAAACTTTCATTTCTTGATTTATCTGCCTTTTAAAGTACATGTACTTTTGTATCAAGGTTAGATTTTACTTTTTAGACAAGTTGACAACCTCTTCATGTCATTAAAATCACTTATTACAGCCAACCATAAGTCCTTGATGCAACACAATGGATAAAAAACACTTACTGTAAAACTATTCAAAATCAAAGCAGATTTCTGAATGGAATAGAGCCAAATTTGAAATTACTGTTTACCAAGCTCAAAATAGACCAACCTCATCTCTGTTTTCTATTCGACAAGGAAATATATGTAATCCTGACTCACCATTTCAAGGGAGGGTGCAGATGCCCTTGTTTTTAAAGGATATGATTATTTTTTTAAAGATCTTATTATGACCGGTTTAAGGAAGTGAGTAGCATCCTTCTGATCGATGAAATGTTCTAGTCTCCAGAAGATGTTTACAAAGTGAAGGTGTTGGATTTGTGATTTTTCTTTTTGATTTAATTGCCCCGTCCCCATGTCTCTCAAGTTATGCTCTTTTCTCACTCAAATTAAGTTTAATTGTGTCTTGAATTATGATACTAATACCCCTTTGACTAACTATTTGTGCTACCTCAGGCAGTGAGAAGAGACATGTTTACATTTTTATCTGCTTTATCTTGGTTATACTTTATCTTAGTTTTTTATTGTTGTGATATTATTTGAAATGGTCTAGAAGTTTGGTTTAGAAGGTTTATTTGGACAAAAGAAAAACAACAGAGCAAATTCATTCACATTGTTAGTCAAAGGAATAAATTGTTGAGAAATTCATAATAATATGAGTAATTTCATAAATTAGTGACCCATCACATTGTATATGGGTAATTCTATACATTAGAGACCCACTTTGTGACATTGTTGGTGTCCCTGTTACATAAGGAACCCATACTACATAGTGGAGTATGAGTGTTACAGTCATTCTAGGTATGAGGATGCAATATTATGCTTGGAAATCACTTTACAATCTCATTCCACTATTTAAGTCTTTACAAAGAGCCGTAAATATGTGTGGGTTCCTTATATGTAACAGGGACACCAACAATTTCACAAAGTGGGTCCCTAATTTATAGAATTACCCATATACAATATTCCTAAAAGGATTATATGAGGAACATAGCATTAAAGTTCACATTTCAATATTGATAGTGCCTTAAAGACCATCAATACTACTGGGCCAGAAGGAATTAGACCACACAGCGAGGTCACTGACAGGTGTCTATCTCATTAACTCAGCTCTCAATTAACATAAGAAAAGAGGATCATGGGGGACCAACAGGCACCGATTGGGGAAGTTTTCTATATAGAGGGAGCAAGTAGCTACAAGTAGGACAGTGGGGCTTTAAGGCGAGGCTAAGTCTAGAGGAATTACGGAGATAGTAATCTGACATGTGTTAACAGAGGAAAGCAGGAATATGTTGTTACCTCCTACTTCAAACACTTGGGGCTTCAAACACCTCTTTATTGCATGTATCCAATCATATCATAAGAGCTGAAATTGTGCCAAAACAAGCAATTACCTGCCCCCAAATAGACACACTAGCTCCCAAGTATAGAGAGATGTATTCTTTGCCTAAACAATGATCTCATAGTCATACATTAATAAGTGGAGTTTAGCCAATATTTTGAGTTTAGCTTTATTCTCGTTCATGGTTAAATTAGATTCTATATTAAATTCTTGTAAAGAAAACATGATCATATTATCACATTTTCTTTTCCATTGACAAATTTATCCTGTATTACAGTAATAAATCAAATATAGATAATTGTCCAGATTAATTACCATGACCCACAATTACTCAAATTTACACCTGCACTCCATTAAAAATTAAACATGATCACGATATCAACCCACAGCAATATCTGTACGTGTGTTTACATTTGTGAACAATTTAATTGCGTTTAAACTTGAAAATAATCTGAACATGATTTCTGTGGGGTATACATGTGAAAGAGGACTTAAAAATTGCCCCTGTGAAAGTCTTTATGATCATGTAAATATGACATGTAATATTGGGCCCTTGCTTGGCATGATTTAAAGCCCCGCTCTACTACTTGTAGCTACTTGCTCCCTCTATGTAGAAAACTTCCCCAATCGGTGCCTGTACGTCGGTCCCCCATGATCCTCTTTTTCTTATGTTAATTGAGAGCTGAGTTGATGAGATAGCCACCTGTCTAGTGACCTGGCTGGGTGGTCTAATCGCTTCTGGCTGAACTAGTACAGAAGGTAGGGTTTGTCCCTTTAGTGGGTTTGTCCCTTTAGTGGGCTTGTTTTGCCGTCATTGGACCTAGATGAAATGATGGAGTCCATGTAAGAGCACATTATCCAGTTAATTTTGCGCCTTCATCAGCCCAAAGTTGTAATTAGCGGGATATTTGGTCGAGATAAAATCATCCCAAGATATCTTGTGCTAGTTTGCAAAATATCCCACTTTTTGTCCGGTGCGTTTTCACCAGCCCAAAGACTCGTACTGTGCGCGAACGCTGAGCAAAAATATCCCGAGCTAATTTCTCAAACTCGAGTTTTATGTTTCGAGATCTAGTCTCGAGCTGGTGAAGACGCGATTTGTAACTTCGGGATTATTTCCCAAATCAGAAATAGCGGGCTATTTTGCAATCTCGAGCTGATGAGGACAGGCCTTTTGTGTGTGTCTGGAGGGAAGCCAAAGCCCACCGCACACTGTACGATCTTCCTGCGATCCGATTTTCAAAGAAATGGCACTTATGTTCGATACAGAAATCTATACAAACATCATCTTCCTGATTTAGGTTCTGAATAATGATAAGAATATTAACAACCTGAGTTTCAGTGTAAGCCTTCTTGTCAGAATGAAAACCAAATCGGATTCAGAGCGTAGACAATCAATCATACTATTGGTATGACGTCACTACGATTCTCAACCAATCTAGCTTTTGCTCCTCCAAGGAAGCATGAAATCCATTTAAATTTTATAAATTATATTATATGCCTATTTATATTAATAAATCATTAAGATTTCAGAAGTTTAACATTTAAATGTTCATCTCAAAATACTATTGTAACTTCTTTGGAACAAACTACCTTTACGTATTAAAAACTGTCAGACTGTCAACCAATTCAAAAATTCTCCTAAGACACAATTACTTTTGATGATTGAATTACAACCTGTACCATGTTCACATTGATATATATTTCATATTTATTGTAATTTGTATTTTGTAGGTTTATTTATAATTTTTTGTTTAATATAATTGTTTTTCATTATATTTTGTTTGTTAAAGCGCTAAGAGCCTTTGGTGGAAACAGGAAAGCACTTTAATAAGCACAGTTTAATTATCATTATTGTTATTATTATTATTATTATTCTTTCAAGATCTTATAGTGTGTGGTGGGCTTAAAGTACAGAGCCTATGGAGTATGCCATCAGCGTAGTCTCACAGTGCAGACACTATTAGCGACTGGCAAGGGTTTGTGTCTGCAAACTCGAGCCTGGGAATGCATCCTTTGAATGGCCGGTATCTCCATTTGGGGTGTGAAGCTAGGCCATTGTACAGAGTGCCCTTCAGTTTAAGTCAATTTATAATGGCGCGATAGCTATTCCTTATGTGAAAGTTCAGTGAGGTTTCATCGTTTCTCGTGAAAGACAGCTAGGATGGAATTCATTCTTCAATATCACTTCCTACATGAACTGGTCCATCATTCGATTGTAAACATTGAACATTTTAATGGGAGCACCTTGGTACATCGGATTTGGTTTATGTTTATGTTTGTGTTTGTGTTTATGTTTACGTTAATATACGTTTGTGTTTATGTTTACGTTTGTGTTTATGTTTATGTTTGTGTTTATGTGTATGTTCATGGTCATGGTAATGTTTGTGTTTATGTTTATGTTTGAATGTTTATGTTTATGTTTATGTTCATGGTTATGTTTATATTTGTGTTTGTGCTTATGTTCATTTTTATGTTTAGTTTACGTTTATGTTTATGTTTTTATTGACTCAGTCACCCACATGGGATATCATGAATAAACAACATGACTAACAATTTACACTTTAAGTTCAAGATGACAATGGCAAGAATTGGTCAAGGACAGTAATCTCATAACTAAACTAGTTTTTGAAAACATGTTAACAGGCAAAGTGCCAGCTTTATAGCTTTGTCACTAGTCAGCCAAACATTGAGACAATCCTATGAATACTTTGTTTGTCAAAACTGACAAACGCCATTCTTCAAATATATTTACAAGCTACATGATAAAACTAAAACAGATTGCATTACCCATAGTTTGACCTGCATTTTAACAGCCAAACTACAGTTGACTCTGCGTAAGTGGAATCTATTTGGACCGCAAGAGTAGTTCAACTTTAATCTTCAAAATTTGAGTCACAAAGTGTAAATAACATACATGTATGTTTTGCAAAGTTTGGTGGGTTTTTTTAAATAGGAAAAATCAACTTGCGCAATTTTGAGTAAACTGTACAAGGATTTAAATTTTTAATTCTAGAGCAATGTCTTTGTCAAATGCCAGATGTTACACCTTAGAATTTTTTTTTTTTGGCAACTTTAATATAAAGCTTGCCTCTGGTTTATTCCATTACGCATTGTCAAATATCTATGAATATTCTTTCTTATCCTGATAATATTTTATATTCTCTTTACATTTATTTTTTGGGATACAGAACATTTGAAAGAAGATGTCTCTGAATGGGTCAGGGTCAAATATCTATGAATATTCTCTCTTATATACTGATAATATTTTATTTTCTCTTTACATTTAAATACAGAACATTGGTAAGAAGATGTCTCTGAATGCCTTTGTGACGAACCTGGAAGGGATGAATGACGGTATGAGCTTCCCCCGCAGCACTCTCAAGGCGCTGTACAACGCCATCAAGGCGCAGCCGCTCGAATGGATCATGGATGACGACGACGCTAGGAGTGATGTCTCAAGCACCGGCAAAGGATCTAAGAAGCTTCCTCGGAACGGAACACCGAGTGGAAACCCATTAGTACAGGTAAACATTTGTCTTCATGCAGTAGTAGACCTGTTCACATATGTTGTTGCAGCGTTGTCTTTTTTATGCTTCACCCCTAGCAGCTCAGAGTATTTTTGTTTTCTAGATTAATCAGTATTCCCTCCTCAAATTGACAACAATTAATGTTATTTCCTACTTTCCTACTGCTATGGATTAAATGAATGGCAAATGGAGTTGAACAATAGTAGGAGCACTCATCAAAGGTCCTACGTGTACTCGCTACCGTATCTGTATGCAATAAGATACAGAAAAGTGAAGCCTCGTTGTGCTGACTGTTTGTCAATACAAAAAGCCACGGGGGAATTCTTTGTATCAAACATGCCCTGCACAACTTATGTCCTTTTTCCATTGATTTCATTCAAAAATGAAACATTTTGTTATGTGACAATAGAGTAATGGTAGCGACATCGAAAGAGACCATTAATCAATGGTAATATCAGACACATTTTTCAGTTTTGAATGAAATAAATGGTAGCTGTGACGTAGAGTAAACACCTTCTGGCTCCGAACAGACAATATGTTGTACAGGGCACATTCTATGGATTCGCTTAACCATGGTTTACCGAGTAATATGTGAACAAACCTTAATTGACGCGTGGCGGGTGTACCGAAGGAATTCTGGGCACAGGTATGGATTCCAAGGCACCTGGGTTTACCTCGCTGTCTACCTGTAGTTTCTTTAGATTGTAGAGAGAATTGTGAAATTTGATAAGCTAAAATGAAGTGCTCCATGCATGCATTGCTTTACCAGTTTTCAGTGAAAATTGTATAAACAGGGAGTCAAGTAATAAAAAATTCAAAAAAATATATATTTAAAAATGATTGTGAGGGAATCTTGCAGACGCAAATGTTTCAGGAGCTTCCGTTACCCTGCCCGTCCCATGCACCTCTCCCTCCCCAGAAAACATATCTACATATGTGTATGTGTACACTGTCAGTTGTATGGACAGGTTTGTGCTTGTAGCAATCTGTATTTATGTACTTAGCAGCTGAATTAACACAATATCAGGATCAAATGACAACCTTTATTTGTAATCAAATAGGAATGTAGGGGTATGAAAAAGTGATATAAATGATGATTCTGTGTCCTCTAGAAATATCATTTTAATAATAGCTCCTGTCGATGCAATCACTGCATTTTTTATGAACTTAAAGTTGCTGGTATATTGGATCAAATTGCATTTACAAATAGAAGCACCTCGATCCACTTGATGTTTGTCAAGCTGATATTTGCTGGTATTTGCTCAATTTGATATTTATATGATTGGCATTTGCTTAGTGCCCGTTATAAAGACGACACTGTAGAAACACAAAATGATGTTGTATGAACAAAATATTTTACGTCAGAAGAGAGACTTCTACTCCGAGTGACACAATGTGATTTACCTTTTTTTTTTAATAATCAATGTATTTTATATTTTTTCTTCACATTCTGTAGTTCTGTGAGTGCTTTGGTACTTTATTGGTTTTAGAACTCCTAAATACTTGATATTATTATTATTATTATTAGACTGAATATCAGTCTAGATTTGTTCGAATGGAAATATCTTTTTAGATTTATTAATCTCATTCTTCACATAAATAACTCTTTTGTATTAAATATAGAGATACTTTTAACTGCATTTCCCATGCAAGCAATGCCCCCCCCCCCCCCTAAAGGAGAAGAAAAAAAACATGTTAGAAGTATGTAAAGGCCAAATAAAAAAAAACTTGTTTAGCAACCTACTTTTTGAAAAATAGGAAGGAGGAGGCCCTTTTTTTTCAAAATGGCCGCTCAGTAAATTTTCCCTGACAGTCCGGCTATTTTTCAAGATGGCCGCCGGTTATTTTTTTTATTTTTTTAAAAATTAGAAATAGATCCATTTTAGCAGTGTTTTTCATGTTTGTTTTTTTTAAAATGAAAAAAATTTGGAAAAAAAAAAAGGAGGGGGCCCCCCAAAATGAAGGGGGCAGGGACGCTAAACATGTATATTTTTTTATTGGCCTAAAGTTGGTGTTTGCTCTACCTCTAGGCCCTGTTCTAGCAGAGAGCTGTAATATAAGCAGTCTAGACACCTAGACTAATCAAGATATGAATTTTTCCTTGCAAAAGTACATCTCCTTGAATACTTCAAGTTTGTGTGTGCAGCTATATAAGGCATGCAAAAGAGAATGCTTTCTAGAATCCTTTTTTTTCCTTGTTCCAAAAGAGGAATATTTGCGCTTATGTTTACTTCAAAGAATTGATGTGATTATATCTAGAAGTGCCCATTTTACCCACCACACACATTTTCTATTAAAGATAAAGACCAGTTATGGTCATGCGATTGAATTGTGAAAGAAACGTTGTGGAATCGAGCAGAAAAGGTTGATCATCTAGCATATAAGTATTTGTGTGTACTGCAAGGTTCTGGAATCATCAAAATGATAAGAAATTTGGCCCAGTTTTGGTAAAGTTACAAGCACTGTACACAGAAAGATGTCTATGGGACTACACGACACGTGCGCAACACGTGCGTTATATCTATCAGGTCCAAATAGATATAATAATGTACCAAATATATCAATTAGTAGGCGGTTTCTCAGCAAAATTTGTTTGATCACGTGTCAAAACATATTCTTTCACATGATTGGTAATAAGAGCTTCCATTTCATTTTTTGAGAGGGGGGCGTTTCCAAAACTGGTCTTTACCTTTAAAGTAGATTTTATGACCAGCTTCTTCTCCAAAGTCCACAATCCAGACCAAATTAGAAAAGATGGGGGACATGCAGGACAGTCAATCAAGATTCCAGGGCCGGTTTGATTGATCTAGACATTAAGGAGACTGACATGTCTGTGCAAACAAATTCCTCTAAATATTTGTGGAGCTTAATTGAATGAAGTGCACCCCCATCTAGGCTATATGATCTCTCCTGACTTCCCTGCCAAAGAAGAACCCTGTCAGAACGATGACTAAAGAGGGAGTGGTAGTCTCCGCCAAGAGACGTTCCAGAATGATCACGTGGACCTTCATTTACTAATTGGATAATTGGCGGATATCGGGATGATTAAAGGAATACCTTTGGGTACAAAATTGCAGTTTAATATGATGTAGGCCTACATTTGCCACTCTCCACCCAGGTGTTAAATGGGTACCCGGTAGGATGCGAAACCTAATGTGGTTTGATTAGCAATGGCGACTGGTTGGAATGCTCCCCAGGGAGTGGAGAATGTGCATACCTTGTGTGAGGGTAAGCCTGAATGCGATGACCGGGGTAATGATATATATCTGTAAAGCGCATTGAGAGGGCCTGCTGTCCTGAAATGCGCTATATAAGGACAAACTATTATTATTATTATTATTATTATACAGGGCTTTATTGTTAGAAACAGTAAGAATTATGAATAGCAGTGTAGATGAAAAAATTATCAGATTGCAACTTGGAGTGAAATTATATTACAGATTACTGCACAATTACATGGCTTCAACAAAAACAAAAAATTCAAAAAAAAACTCTTATTAATATTACTCAAGATTCCATACATTTGTAAATTGAATATGTAGAGGTAAAAGTATACCTATTCATGACCAAATAACATGATATATAATGTGCTGTGGTATAGAAGATCTTTCCCTTTGCTTTGAAAAATGTAAATCTTTTTGGAGATTGAAACAAAAATATTGTTTTTATCGGCAATTAATGCATTCATTGGAGCAGCCATTGATACGGTAACAAGATGATCCCAAGCCGATAAGATCTAGATCGCAATCTCGTTATCTAATAAGAAAATGCCAAGCACCAAACTCAAAGAGCAAATTCCCAACATCTTTAAGGGGAGCAGCCATTGTCATGGTAACCGGGTGATGTGTAGATCTTTCTTTCCCCCAAGTCTTACAGGGAATCACATTGGTTTGCCCGATGGGCGCTGAGTGAGTAAATATAATTTGAAGATTGAGAGCCGAGACGGGGGAAAATTGAAATGGGTCAGATGGAGGTAGGTAGTGCAATTGTCTGAGATGCAGAGGAAGTTTATTGAGAGCTGCTCCGGAATGGCATTGAATCGGATTTGATTCAATTGGACTGAATTTGATGCATTTTTAAAAGGTGTGGGGAAAAGCAAATGGCATGCAGGATCATATATATAATCATATACATGTACCTGCCAACCTTTCATAGTAAAAGTTAGGAATCTCTATCAACGGTCTATTTTGTATAGTTTTCACACAGACTCTTTTCTGCGCTTAACTGTTTATGGAATTGAGATAAACATGTAATGCCCCCCCCCCCCTAAAAAAGACATTTGTATTGTGAGGATGTATATTCACATGGCAGAAATGTGTACTAATATTAAAGACACAGGATCTGCATATTGATACAAATCTTAACAAGGCATATTCATAATTATCTGTATGTAAATGTACATTGTGCATGCACATTCATGATGAGTTGGCGAATAAGAGAAAGCACCACAGTCATGGGGAAAACATAATTTCATAATAGGCCATTTTTGTAATGGAACCAAATTTAATACATACTTCTTTGTGAAGTGCTTCAATATAATTTATTTTATTCACCTGTAATTCAATAGGCAGAATGCAAACTGCATATATTATGTGATGTTAGGTAGGAAAAGGCATTATGTTCGTCCTACCTAGCAACAAATATTTTATGCAATTTGAATTCTGGCTATTAAGATACAATTATTTGTAACATGTGAATGAAATAATCACAAAGACGTATGCATTTAATTTGGTATTAAACGTTACAAAAATAGCATATTACTAGTGCTTTGGAGTATTTTTGTGCTAGTGTGGGCGGGGAGGGATAATCATTCAAACATGGCGAACTTTCTCGTTTTAGTAATTTCCTCTGGTGTACGTGACTCGTGCATTAAAGGCATCGGTTAACAATGTTACATCTGAGTTGCATGGCCCTTACGTGATAGCAGCGTCTGTGATATGGTATAATATTGAAATCCTTAAAAAATTGCGCTTCATAATGATCATGAAGGGCTTCACAAAAGTTTTGGAGTGACCGGTTTTACCATACTCATTTTCCCCAATAGACTGTAGTGTTATAAAAAACGTGGGGAAAACGGTCTTTGAAATTTTGAATTCCAATCTTAAATATCTTGATAATCAGACGGGCGATCGGCTTGTAAAAGTCATGGGGTTCCTGACTGACCAAAAGGGGAATAATTGTCATTGCAGCATGAGCTAAATCCAGGATTTTGTTTCAGAATCTGAGATAAAATACCTACAGTAATTCCCTTAAGTTGCTGCACTGTCATATAAAATGTGCATTATATCTTGGAATCTCTTTCATGTTTTATTGCATTCCGTACAATGGAATATTATATTTCCTCTAAAAACACATAAATAACTTCCAAGGAAATGACCTTTAAAGCACGACATTAATCATGAAGGTCTCAACTACAATCCTCTCTATAATTTTGATGTATCTATCTTTGAAGTTTGAACTACCCCTATGCTTTTTCTCTTTCATTCTTTTTTTTTTTTGCGTTTGGTATTAATCCAAGAGTTAATGTTTACATTCAGCTTTGGACCTCTATATTACTATTATTTTCAAGATGTTTTGTCTTGTGTTAATTTGTGAACAATCCATAGGAAGATACCTCTTTCTGTTTATTTCAAGATCAGCAATATGGATTTACTTTTACATATTTTCTCTCTCAATGAAAACCCTTTTTTCTTCAAAACCAGTATGATACATAGGTCAAACTTAATACATGTCTGTGTTCATAAAGCATGCCATGTAAATCCCCATCTTCACATAATGTAGACATAAAGAAATAGAATGTCGACATTGCACATATTGCACATGGGCAGACCTTAATGCCTTTCAAAGCTTGCAATCTTGGAGCAATCATTCAAATGTCAATTGAAAGAGCCTGGAAATGTCTAAGATACAATGTATTGGTATGTCTGCCTTACTTAAAGGGACAGGGTATCTGCCTCAGATTCTTTAAAAAAAATCCTGGATTTAGCTCATGCTGCAATCATAATTATAAGCCTTTAGGTCAGTCAGGAATACCATGGCTTTTACCAGCTGATCGCCCGTCTGATTATCAAGACATTTATGATTGGAATTCGAAATTTCAAAAAACGTTTCCCCCAACTTTTTTTATATCACTACAGTCTATTGGGGAAATGAGTATGGTAAAACCGGTCACTCAAAGATTTTTACACTTTTGAGGCACTTCATGATAATTTTGAAGCACAATTTTTTTATGGCTTCATTCAATATGACACCATATCACAGACACAATAGACATTGTGTGTTGGCAAATAAACACTTGATATAATACAATATAATTGATTGAGAAAGTAAATTTTATTTCTCAGAGTCTAATGAATGTCTTATTATTTCAGCCCTTTTTTGTATGCAGGAAAACCCCTACTAAAAGATACTATACTTCCATGTGCTATTTTTAACAATTAAACATATTCATGAAATCATTTCATACATGTACAACTGTATATACAGTGCCAAATTGTCATTGCCATGATAATTAATTTTAATATGGGATGATGAAATTTTTTTTTAAACATGTATTTATTAGATTTCTAGTATCATTCATGCAAAACTAATCATAAGGCACTGCTCTCTGTAAATTGAAACTTTTTAAAGTCATTTGAATAGACAATTTTTGTAATATAATACAATTTAATGCATAAACCTTTGTTAAGTGCCATGTTACAAATAATTTTATTCCAATAGTCTGAATGCAAATTGCATACATTCATTCAACACAGAATACATAATGAAAATGGCATATTTTTTACTAATACATAGTTGGAGATGAGCTATTACATGTGGAAAAAAAAAATTCTTTCAGTGCTCTTTACATCTTTATTCTTTATTTTATTTTTGAATTCTATTTTTAGATTGACGATGATCCCAACGCACCTGTCTACATCCAAACCTATGTCATGAGGAAATTAGTGACCGATGCAGAGGGAAAAAAGAGTGAGTACTCAAATTTAAAAAAAAACACTTAAAGCAAAAGTATATGCAACGCAAGGGTGTGAGGAGAGTCGCGTGACCAAAAACCAGAATCATTTACAGATATTTTGAGAGCAGGCATTTATACTGAAAAAAAATCAGCGAAATATCTGTCGGCATTTAAAAAAAAAGCACATTTCGGAGGTGGATTTTTCAATTTCGTTTTTTGTTGTGTTTGCCGGTGGTTGCTTAACAACTGCAGACGTAACACCAGAATGTGAGAAAAATCAACAAGTTTTGCTTGCATTGTAAATGCAGCTATATGACTCCCTATTTGAGTTACCCATCAATAACTATTAAACAGGACACAGGATAATGTGGCCTCATGCCAACTGCTTTTAACAACTAATATTATACTTCAAGGACACTCTGCGTACTTGAAAGAAAGTATTGGATTATATTCAAGCGTGAATAGGCTTTATCTATCAGATAGATTGTCAACCAAGAACCATCCTCTGAGTGTGCATGCTTTAAAAATAAACAAAAAAATCTGCAAATAGAATAAAAGATTATGTTTATTAATAAAAAATACTAAATAGCCCCATGTACTAATTAACTGCCCATGATAAGAGCTGTTTGTGTTTAATACTTTGCAAGTAAATAATCCTGAAGTGAGATTGATAATTGTATTATTGTAAGTTTGAATCAGCATCACTTACATGTTGTCATACACTGGGGGGAGGGGGGCGTTTCACAAAACTTGTCATCAGTGACTAATGACATTTTTTGTTATAAACTACTGAACTCCTTGCTTCTGATTGGTAATCAGCATATTCGTCACTGAATTTTGTCATTTGTCATTGAAAAAAGGCGCCCTGGGTCTGTTCTCATTTAAATGACCCCTCCCCCATGAATCAAGCTTCCTTCAAATTACAGTGCCAAAAGTTTTAGTCTAATTGAGAAATCTGTTTTAATTGTTTATCTTTATCATGTTTGATTTTTGTATTACAATCTTTATAAATTGTGCATTTTTTGGGTTTTTTGCTTCTCAATTGTTGGGCTTTGATTCGTGTGCCAGTGATGGAATGTTTAACCTCGATTCTAATATTACATCATATTTAACGAAAAGAAGGATTGAATACAAAGGTTATACTAGTGAAGTCACACTGAAAAGCTTTCTCGTGAAATGCCAATGAGATGGATATAATTTCAACTTCAGGTTTCAACTTTTCATGAAGATCCCCTTTCCAGTTATTTTCCCTTTTGCTGGTTGACATTTGAAATTTAATAAAATGCCATGGTTTTTCTATTGCTTCTTTTATTTAAATAGCTCCCAAAGGGAAAAGAGGATGGAAAATGTATTTTGGCACGGTGAAAGGTCTCTGCATTTATCTACACAAGGTAAGTAAAGTAAACTTTATTCATAAGGGCTCGATGCAAGGAGAGAAAAGAAAACATGTGAATTGAGATTTCTAGGATTAAGTGACTCAGTTACATTGTTGAAGGTTGATGGAAAAACTGCGTAATTTTTGTATGAAATGTTACTTTTTATATTCCTTCTACTGTACTAACTCTCTAAAATGCAAAAAAATCCTGAAAAAATTCTCAAACCTGAAAGATATTTATGGTTTTCTTTGAAGGTGTCACTGTGCGAAACCCTCTATTAAACAGTTAATTCTCCCAACCATTTTTAAATTTTCCCAATTGTTTTGCCATGAAAATAAGACATAAGACAGGCTTTTTAAAATCTTTCTACATTTAAATGTCTGGAATGACATAAAGAGACAATTCATTGCTTTGTGACGATTTACATTCACCTTAAATGTAGTTAAATTGTAATAATATAGTTGGGAGAATTAAGGAATCAATCAGATCAGTTTTCCCCAATTGTTATCATTAATAATGGTCTGTTTTCACTCAAACTTTCAGATTATCTTTACATCTTTACATATTTTCAGTTAAAACAGAAGAATATTTGCATGTTAAGCTTGCATCTATAGCCTCCTTCTTTTTCACTGTATCTATAGCATTTAATGTAATATGTCTAATGTCAACTTCTAAATTGTGATTTAAATCTAGATAATGTCTACATTTTATGTAAACCCTTCTACAAAGTGACTGAAATATAAAGTTGGAAAAACTTAAAAGAGAAAATTAATTGATGCAGATTTAGACTGGAAATGTAATATAAAAAGACTAATTGAATCATATGCTACAATTCATTCCTTTTTTTGATAATACCAGGTAATGAAATACTATTCCCACAAATTTGCAATGGGGGGGGGGGGCACAGAGATGACAAACTTTGACGCCATTAAAAGAAATGGGGGTCATTCTGATTTTAAAGGTGCCATTTTACTCCGAATTCAATGATACAAATAAGGGGTGGCTCTAATATAGGCACTTGTGAGCCCAACCTGGATTTGCCTATGGGTCCAACCATTTTTTTTTTTTAATCGAATTGCTGTTCCTTCATTGAAAATTCTCAAACCTAGGGTGTCTTCGACCCATTCATTGTGTTTTATGTCATGCCTTGTCTGCTTGTTCACCTGTACAGCTGTGCATCCCCAATGCAATAAAAGAAACAGTTGGAATAGCAGTAAGGGGTATTTCTAGATCTCACAGTCAAAATCTTGTAAACATAGACATATTGCAACTGAGGGAGAAAGGGATTTTTGAATGCAGAGAGAGAGACAGAGAGAGACAGAGAGACAGGAAGAGAGAGAAAGAGAGAGAAATAGGGGGACAGAGAGATAGACAGAGAAAGAAAGAGAGACATAGACAGAGAGAGAGCGGGACAGACAGATACATACAGATAAAAAGAGATACAGACAGACAGACAGACAGATACAGAGAGACAGACACATACACACAGAGAGGGAGAGACGCAAAGGTTGGCCCTTTTAAAAGAGAATTTAATTGTATACTGATTATTGGTAGTCCATTGCAATTTTGACTACTACATTAATGGTCACTGTTAGTGGATTGTTTTTTTGATAATTTTGAGGTTTCGCAAACTTTAAGATTAACTCTACAACGTCTCGTGTGAACATGAATCCTGGTCAGTGCTAGTGGATTGTTGTTTATAATTTTTAAGGTTTCACAAACTTTAAGTTTGAAACTACAATGTCTTGTGTGAACATGAATCCTGGTCAGTGTTAGTGGATTGTTGTTTATAATTTTGAGGCTTGCAAATTTTAAGTTTAAAACTAAAAAGTCCTGTGTAAACATGAACCGTGGTCAGTGTTATTGGATTGTTGTTTATAATTTGGAGGTTTTTGCAGACTTTAAGTTTTAAAACTGTAACATCCTGTGTGAACTTATTTTCATTGATTTCTTTTTTCTTTCTTATCTGAAGTCGGAGGTTGCCAAGGACTTGGCTTTCAACAACCCCAAGGAGGTGATGAGGATCCAGCATGCATTAGCCAGCCGGTCTGGTCAATATGATAAGAAACCCAACGTCTTCTTACTTCGACTGGCCAACTGGAGTGAATACCTCATGCAGTGTCTGTAAGTACTCTTCACCCATTTAGCTTTCCTATCTAACTTCCCACAAGATTCCATTCTCCAATTGAAGTATCGATTTTTAATATCTTATTTCAGTGAGAAAATACTTGGTATGTATATATTTTCCATCTGTAACCCAGTATTTACTTAATACAGTTGTATAAGTTTATTTTACTAAATCCATAATTGATATGTTATTTGTATATTCACCTGAAATTAATTAGTATCACCCTTTAGTCTCATTAGCTGCCAGTCTGGGGTCTGTTGGCCTCAGATGCTAGAGCTCATGTGAATAATGTGCTGACTGGGCTAGTCCCTTAAATTGTCAGTGAACTGAGCAGCTGGAGGGCACCGGGCCTCACCAGGCAGAGCTGAGGATTGAAATTGGTTATATAAATGAATATTGCAAAATTGATTACTTTACTTGTATCAAAGAGAACTGTTGCTGAGCTATCATTATTATTTATATTAAAGTTTACACTCAAAAATTTACAACTATTGGGTTCTTCTTCCACACTCTCTCTCTCTCTCTCTCTCTCTCTCTCTCTTTCTTTCTTTATTTCTTCCTTCCTTTCTCTCTCATCCTCTTTTCTCCCCACTTCCCCTCCTTTCTCTTTCTTATTGTCATTTTCCTTCTCTCTCTCTCTCTCTCTCTCTCTCTCTCTCTCTCTCTCTCTCTTTTCCATTTTTCATCTACATTTGTTGTTAATTACCCTTTCAATGCAATAGCTCAGTTGGTAGAGCAGTGGTCCCATAATCCGGAGACCCTCTCTCTCTCTCTCTTCTGACATTTCTTCCTCCCTTTCTCTCTCATCCTCTTTTCTCCCCACTTTCCCTCCTTTCTCTTTCTTATCGTCATTTTCCTTCTCTCTCTCTCTCTCTCTCTCTCTCTCTCTCTCTCTCTCTCTCTTTCTCTCTCTCTCTCTCTCTTTCTCTCTCTCTCTCCCATTTTTCATCTGCACTTGTTGTTAATGACCCTTTCATTGTGATAGCTCAGTTGATAGAGCAAGGGTCTCGTAATATGGCAACCCTCTCTTCTCTCTTCCGACATTTCTTCCTCCCTTTCTCTCTCATCCTCTTTTCTCCCCACTTTTCCTCTTTTCTCTTTCTTATTGTCATTTTCCTTCTCTCTCTCTCTCTCCCATTTTTCATCTACATTTGTTGTTAATTACCCTTTCATTGCGATAGCTCAGTTGATAGAGCAGTGGTCTCGTAATTAGGCGACCCGGGTTCAAAACCAAGTCGATGAGCTAGTGCCCTTAATTGGTAAGGCATTAATCCTCATTATCAGGCCCTCAGAGAGGACCTAAAGCCGTCGGTCCTCTGGCCGCTTACTAACAAGCATTTAGGCTTTCTTAGCAGTCAGGTAAAATAACCACCACCACTTCTGTTATGTAATATCCGTTGTTATCTTGTTTTATGCCAGTGATGTGAGAGACATGCAGTCTTGGATGCAAGCAGTGAACCTAGCATCATCGGTCCACTCTTCACCACCCCTCCCAGCAGCGGTGGGTTCACAGATGGGCTTCAGGAGACCCGTACTACCAAGCGGTGCATCCAAACAAGATCCAGTAAGATAAAACTAGTGAAACATTGAGCTCCAATAATAATAATAATAATAATAATAATCTTTTAAAGTCCACTCCAAATTTTATTAAATCGAAAATGGAAATTCTTTTTGCCCAATTGATCGTGAGCCCGGCAGCCACTGAGCAGCCCCAGATCGACGTTGCTCTATCCCTTATTGTTGAACACCAAACAAGGTAGCAGCAACTCCCGTCTTTTAACGTCTTTTGGTATGACGCGGCCAGGGTTCGAACCCACGACCTCCCGGTTGTGAGGCGGACGCTCTACTGACAGAGCCAACACACCGGTTGGAAGGACTTTGATTGTTTTTCCAATAAAATAAGTTTGATGGTGAAACATCATGCAAGCTAGATCCAGTTAGATAATTTTATTGAGCTAGATTGGAAGGACACTGAATTTTTTTAAATCTCCAATGCAATAAATTATGTGCTGAAACTTAATGTTGCTAGTGCTGTCTGTCCAAAGCAACTAGAGAATCTAGAGAATTTATTGATTCATCTTTAATAACAACAGAAATTCTTTCTCCACTGGTTGAACAATAACAAAGATCATGTCACAGCAGAATTATTCATAACAATGAAGTGTAAAGAAGTGTACAATATCAATTATTAACCGTATCAGACATCTGAGCAGTGTTTTTACAAAATTATATCACACTTGTTGTAATCCTAAAAGGGCTAATCAGTAAATAGAGCAGTGAATCAGTAAATATAAGACCATATTACCCTCTCATGAAAAAGGCTATGGACTTTACGTGTTAAAAAACAAGAAATAAATATACACAGTGCCGTATTTTGTCATTTTCAATTACAAAATTGTGTTTCTTAAACTGGTCTCTATTGAAGATTGAACCTGTGATTTCTAACTTGAGAAGAAAAGAAAACTTATTTAAACAAACTTTCAGACTAGTTCCTTTTACAGTTACTATTGTCGTCAAGGTCTAGTTCCCATCTGTCTTTTCGTCCCCCCCCCCCCACCTCCCAAGCATTTCTTCATGTTGCTCTCTTTTAATCTTTTTTCCAAAGGCTCAACAGTTGGCGAGTCATGATGAGAAGATTGAAGCATTAGAACGTGAGTTAGAAGACCATCGAAGCTATCCACCAGACAAGAAGGCTAAGGCAAAGATCATCAAAGATTACAAGACAAAGGATGAATACCTGGAATATGAGGTTTGTAAATTCCTTCATTTATTCTTTGACTGGTTTGTGTTTATTTTACCTTATCATGGAGCCGTTACATAAAACTAAGCATTAATGTTAACTTTGCCATCAATGGTAACTTCTATGGGAACATTACCATCAGTGGTAAAGATTTAAAGGTAAAGACCAGTATTGGAAACGCCCCATTTCAAAAAATGAAATGGAAGCTCTTATTACCAATCATGTGAAAGAATATGTTTTGACTAATACATGATGATAACAAATTTGCCGGGAAACCGCCTACTAATTGATATATTTGGTAAATTAGTTTATCTACATGGTCTGTGAGAGATAAACGCACGTGTCACGCACGTGTGCGCATAGTCCCATATACATCTTCCTGTGTACAGTGCTTGTAACTTTACGAAGACTGGGCCTAATTTCTTATCATTTTGATGATTCCAGAACCTTGCAGTACACACCAATACTTATCAGCTAGATGATCAACCTTTTCTGATCAATTCCACAACGTTTCTTTCACAATGCAATCGCATGACCATAACTCGCCTTTATCTTTAATGGTAACTTTGCCATCAATGGTAACTTCTAGAGGAACATTACCATTAGTGGTAAAGATTTAAGCAGTGGGGCCAAGAACAACCTTCCCCACCGCAGATAAATACATTTGCAAGGACAATCAATATCATGTTGTATTTGTCATGAGATACCGGGTAGGTTTCAAGATTATTTAACTGTTTCCGGTGCAAGATTAATCAGTACAGGGGGGTGTTTCACAAAGATCCTAAGTTGAACTTATCTCTAAGTTGGACTTAAAAATTATGGAAAGCCATTAGCATCTTTGAAAATATTTTGTAAAAGTTATTTTAAAAGGCATAAAATGCTGATACAAATCATTAATATGTTCTATTATAAAGGAGATGACATGTTCTTGATGTGGAATTAATGAGAAGTCTAAAATACTTAAATTTTTTCTTTTGAATATATTTTATTTTAAGGCTACAAATAGCTCTCCATAATATTTAAGTCTAACTTAGAGTTAAGTTCGACTTAGGATCTTTGTGAAACACCCCCAGGTGTTAATAGGGTTGTCATGGAGCTAATCAAGACCGGAAACAATAACTTTTCAAAGCCATTGAGTGATTTCAAGTTGGGTGTTTAGGGCTGGTGTTAATGTTTAATAAACACTGACAGCAGCCCTAAAAGCTCAAATGGAAATCGGCTGGTGTTAAGGCGTTCACTAATACTAGCCCCTAGGGATTAGGCAAATGTTGATTTCCAGTTTGGTGTTTAATAGTGTTATCGATATTGATATCGGTATCATGCTCTTAATTTCATCAGCAAATTTATAGCTCCATTTAAGAGCTCTTGACACTATGAACATGACGGACAAAGAAAGCAGACAAATTATACAGTTCGTCATTCTACCCTAAACAATTGCTATGGTAGACAAAGCAACATCCCTTCACTGCTATCATGTAGAAATGTGTAGAACAGGTGAATGTGCATGTGACACCTGTTCTACACATTTTACATGAAAGCAGTGAAGGGATGTTCCTTTGTCTACCATAGCAATTGTTGAGGGTAGAATGAGGAACTGTATATTTTGTCCGCTTTCTTTGTCCGTCATATTCATAGTGTGACTGCTCTAAACACTAACACTAACACCCAACTTGAAATCACTCATTGTCTAGCACAAAGCAATTCATCTGTGAATTGGTGCCTATTGTTCTGTCCAGAATTGAAAGTGTGGCAAATGAGTGACCTTGCAGAGAGGTGAAGCAAGCAACCAAAATGTTAAAGCCACACTGTCCTACTTATAGCTACTTGCTCCCGCTATATAGAAAACAATGCCTAATCGATGACCATTGGTCCCCCATGATCCTCTTTTTTTTATGTTAATTGAGAGCTGAGTTGATGAGATAACCACCTGTCCAGTGACCTTGCAGCGTGGTCTAATCCCTCCTATAAACTAGTACAGATATGCTTTAAGTGGAAAAGAAGATATTATATATACAGTGTATGTATTGTCAAGTATCAGACAATGTTATCTTTTTTCCTTACTTTGATTTTTGTTTGTTTGTTTGTTCTCTACAGATCTCAAGGTTCAAGACGTACATCTACCTACTCCGCTCCCAGCCCTTCAGCTCCTTACCTCCCCGCTCGGCCCCGCCCGCTCCATCATCTTCATCGTCGGTCGCTCAGAGGTCATCTCCTGCTCCCGTTCCTAAATTTGCATCATCTCACTCCTCATCTACCTTATCACGGTCCGCATCAGCTCCAAATTCACTGCCAAAGTTCACTTCATCGTCCTCCTCATCGCTGTCCAAGTCGTCATCGTCGGTGAAGTCGCCGTCGTCGTCCGACGGGAGGAAATCTCCGGAGGGCAACTCCTCCTCCTCCAAGCCGATCCTCCGTAAAACCAACTCTAACGCGGGGGGTAGCCATTCGGATCCGGCGGCTGAGGAGTCGCAATCTTTCCTCAGAGATAGCACTAACAAGGTACATCGAAGCTTTTCGGATCGCTATAGCTACCGTATGGCCATTCATAACAGCGTCAAAATGAACGAATGATTCGTTGAATCTGAAAGGCCAACTTGAATGAGAACTGTCTTGTGCTTGACAGCTAGGTATCAACTCTATACAATTTCCCTTTTTTAAAATATCTTTTGCATTGAATTGCAGAATGTTTATGGGTGAGGGATCTGTAGCAAGTTTCATACTGTCAACTATCAAAAGGGGCCTTCTCTTGAATTCATCTAAGAGTATTATTTGACTATTAACAGTATCGATACCATGAATCATTATTTGTTTCAAGTAATATCGATTAAGTAAACTCTATTTACCATATTGCGGACTGAAAACAGTCTATAAAGTCTAGAAAGCGGTAGAATGCAGCTTGACCAGAACCTCTACATTTTAAGTACCCAGAGCATTTACAGAAAGTGTTCTTCATATACTTGCCCCACATGGCAAACATCAATTCCACCAGCTTATTAAAGGAAACGCTCTATTTCAAGTGCAATAGGAGCATGACATATCTCTCGTCAAGCTATTTATATTACCATATTCATGAATGCCATCATTACGTTTTGTTTCATGTTTTTTTTACTCGGCAATACAAACGCCAAATATTACTTTGTACATAATCATCAGGTGTTTTAACTAATCTCTGTAATATACTTCACACAAGATGAACTGTTTGTTTTCCACGAGCTCAAAATCTGTTGGAGACTACACGCAACTTTGATTAAAAATCGAGTATGGCTTGTGATAGTTATTTTTTTTGTTTTGATTGTCCATGTATTTTTCATGACTAAAAAAATTAGCAATATTCGTCTTCAGTGCATTGATTTTTAGTATTTATTCTACCCGTGAAGTTTGCGTAGAAAGTCAGTGCAATTATAGTTTGTTGTCGTTAATAAGTGGGAACTGTGACAAATTTGAAGTTACCTGTTTTTTTAAATAAAATTATTTTATCATTCATTCCTCAGCTCCCCAAAAAATGATTGGCTGTTAACCTGTTGCCTACTGATTTATTCATAGCCATAGGCTTAGTGTAGGCACCACATGGTTCCAGTACGAAATGGGTTAAGTCGGAATGACATTTTTCCCTTTTTTATAAAAGGAATGGATACTATGTTATGATATGGGGTTTGATGGCTGACCGAAAATCATTGATGAATGACCATTTCATGACTTTAAACTATTTATTTCTTTTTATTTTACATGGGGGATACTCACATTTAAACATTTAAAGTGCTTTCTGCTCCTCTTTCTATTTCGGGTAGCAAATAATTAAATAATAAACGGCTGGTATAGTAAGATATTTTTAGAAATGTATCAAGTTTATTCCTTCTATACAGGGTAAAAATCTACCAAATAAAGTATACATGTTGATGTAATTGCAATATTATGGTCACAGCTCTCAAAAATCTTTAGAACAATATATATCAAGTAATATCCTGCCGATGACAGCTTTTAATAGGAGACTATTAAAGCGAAAGATTTTATTTGCGCATTTGTGCTGAATTCTACTAATTTAATCGCTTCTTGCAGCATCAATTTGCTTTAACAAAGTGCACCATATGATTTTTTTTTACAGAAAAAATAAGAGTTATCAAGTTAAAGAATGAGGTGATAATTTGAATTCAAAGTGTTGTCTGTTTTTAAATTCATAATTAAATTTTCCAAATTGTTTCCAACTTCAAACACTCACTTTGGAAAGTTTCTCTAGCAAGAGTTACTTTTGATGCAGAAAATAATTATGCTCTCTGCTAATACATTTTCTTGAGAAATGCATTTAAAAATTATTGTTTTCTAATTTTTTTACTATTTTTTTTGTATTCCTTCCTTTAGGTATGATCTTCCTAAACTTTCAGATGCTATGTAATGTATGAAAGCAGAACAACTCAATAATCATTGAAGAAAGAAAAAAGCCAAATAACCGTAATTTTCAGTTTTCTCACCAAGTACATTTAGCTTCCCACGCAAAAATGTGAAGTCTAGATTTGTTATTAATGCATGCAGTGACACTACATTTACATGTACTAACCCATTCCAGTTATGCTATTTTTAATGTTTGATTTAGAAAGGCACCTCATGGTAGCTAGGCCTACTTGCTCACAGATACATTAAAAAGTTCCTCAGAGACATCTATTATTTTGCAATATTAGGCATGCCTGACATATCAACAGTAAGTGTATTTCTGAAAACTTGAGAAATTGTGAGCAATTATACCTAGTTATCTGAAGGTTACATTGTTGCTGTTCATGATTATATGTTGCTCTTTATATGTTATTTTTCTTCATCTTTAAATCTGTGTAAACAAATCATTATTTCACATCTTAAACAAAATGAGACAACCATCACCATTGTGTTCATAGTGTGATTAAAGGCACGTTGTTTCAACTCCAATTGAAAGAAAAGGGGGTTAGCGGAAGTCAGAGAATTCCCAAAAGTATATTTCCTTCAGTATCATTTTCCGAAATGCTTGTAGATATTATTGGAGATATACACTATCTACATCACTACATAACCACACACTCTATAGGATATAATGATATGGCCTTATTACGGTATTACAAAACAATTGCTCCTTTAAACAAATATTCTAAACCATATTTTGTTTTCAAACACTCCCTTTCTGTTCTTTGGTGTTTGTATTAACTGGCAAATCTCTCTTTGGGCAGACTTCTGGGTCAATTTAAGTGATAACCAAAATCAATCTTGAAGGCTGTCAAAGAAAGTTTGACCAATGTAACATTGTGCCTTTGATCATACTCTTATCTAGTCTGGTTGGAGTCAGAAGGGCCTGAACTCCTTGGGTGGTATTCTCGAAAGCGGACTAACTTTAATCCATGGTTTAATCCACCGACTAAATATGGAATGCCAAGTGTCCATATGAATATATTTTTGATTAATTTGATATGTCCTTAAATTACCATGCTAACATAATTATGTCATAGTTATGTTGTTGTTTATTCATTATGTTATTACATATTGTTTTAATTTAGTGATATATTAAATTATTCAAAAACATATTCATATGGACACTTGGCATTCCATACTTAGTCGGTGGATTAAACCATGGACTAAAGTTAGTCCACTTTCGAGAATACCACCCATTAAGTTAATGCCCTTTTAGCTCTCATCAGGTGATATTCACATCTCAACATTCCTCTTTAGTTCCCTTCATATGGTATTCCGTGAGTGACTCTTAAGGTAGCATCACAGCGAAACATAGCGGCGCGAAAAGATGCGTCCGGTACGCAAACTACGTAATTGGAGAATAGCAACGAAAAGAGACAAATTGAAGCTTTTCGTCTTGCACTCATCGTGGTAAATCACAAGAATAAACAGAAAGATGAAATCAGACTATGTAAGCGGAAGCTATAGGAACAAGCACTTGAAAAATAATGAACCTTTATTGGCTGCTTGAAAGTAGACGTAAATCCAGCCGTTTAATGACGGCAGGCTGTCATAATTGTTAAAAACCAAATCGTTGGGGTATGGATGTCTTAAATGCATATACCATCTCGAGGCTTACCATTAGCTAAACTTCATTCGGATAATGATAATACTAATAATAATAATAGCCTAATAGTCCACTCCAAATTTTATTAAACCGAAACGGAAATTCTTTTTGCCCGATTGATCGTGAGCCCGGCAGCCACTGAGCAGCGCCCGATCGACGTTGCTCTATCCCTTATTGTTGAACGCCAAACAAGGTAGCAACAACTCCCATCTTTTAAAGTATTTTGGTATGACGCGGCCACGACCTCCTGGTTGTGAGGGGGACGCTCTACTGACTGAGCCAACACTCTGGTTGTGAAGTACTTTTATACAACAAACTATCATGCCTTTTGCGTTCCGGATGCATCTTTTCGTGCCAATCCATTTTGCTATTAAGCTACCTCATTAACATCACTTAATTTCAGCAATTAACACTCGTTATGCAGATCCTCAGTTTGCTATCAACAGTGAAGTTTGTTTCTGTTTCTGTTGCCATCTTAAGTACGTGGATATATAATACACTTGTACTCAGTGTTTTGATTTTTCTATATCTTTGTATTAAATCTTCAAAGTATTTAATCTCAGTCCCACTCCAAACGTTCCAAGTTGTGTATTGCCATTCCCCTTCACAACGTTGCACCCTAGTTCTCAACATTACTTGAAGCATTTTGTCGATTCATTGTGTTAGCCTCATATCTAGGCTGAGTATTTTGTTTCATTCTCCAGAAACACCAGTTAAACACAGTCTGGATTTTGTAAGCCTTTGTTGTAGACTATCCACTCTCATATTAAAAGTGAGGAGTAGTTTATAGCAGGCACAAACCCTTGTTAGTCATTGTGCGTAACAGTGTCTGCACTATGAGACTAGGCTGACAGCATACTACATGGGTTCTGTACTTAAAGCTGCTCCGGTCACAGACAGAGACCGACAGAGCTAGGCTCTGCTCAAGGCTTTAGGAATTGTAATAGATTGTCAAATTAGAGTTTGTGCCTGCAGAGTAAAGGAGGAGAGTAGATGGAAAATTGATAGTCTTTGTACTCCAGACTGCTTTCATCACACCTTTACCGAGAGAGCAAGCAAGATAATCTGAAAGAAATACTGATGACATCTATTACACCTGGCAATCACAAATATCCCAAAATTTGCCCTTTAAAAAATATTCAATTAGTTTTATTGATTATAGATATAACTGTAAGGGTATCACCCTATTCTGGATAGCTTTTTTTAGACAACATGTCATGCTTTTTAGTGATGCTGAAATAGAAGACTGGTGTTCCTTCACAACTATCTTCCTCAGCACCACCTCAAAACCATGAGCACTACGCATTCACTGGGCTGTGAAACTGATCACCAGCTCCAGGGGTTGAGAGCTGGGCCCGTTGCGTAAAACTTACCATTGATGGTAACTTTGCCATCAATGGCAACTACCATGGTAGCGGGGCTCAACAGCCAATCAAAATCAAAGTTTCCATGGTACGGTAGTTACCACTGATTGCAAAGTTACCATCAGTGGTAATTTTGGTGCAATGGGTTCTGTCATCGGTACTTGGTGCATTTGCATTTAGGATGAAATGGGACAAAGCAATTATAACCTGATATAATCTGACAGCCGCGAACAAAAAGTTGCGAATAAGATACGTCACACTTCAGTTGCTTTCTTCACCTGTTTGCACCGCTGCTCCTTAAGCCACACATGCAATTTTGCACAAAACAGTAGGCACAGTTTACAGAAGGATTGCTTCATATATTGCTTCATATACAGTCAAACCTGTCTACAAAGACCACATTTTTTGTTTCCCTTGAAAATGGTTTCTCATTGAAACATGTACTAAAGGAACCTGTCTACAAAGACCACTTTTTGTGTTTCCCTTGGGCGGTCGCTATAGACAGGTTTGACTGTATATGTATATATATATATATATTGTTCTAAAATGATTCAATTCTCTAAGCTTATAACTCTGGGCAAACGGCCACAAACTTCTTGAAAGAGAAGTATATTGAATAAGACCCAATTATAACATTATTTCAAATACTGGCGGGGCTACCCTGTTGAATTAAAGCCTATCTGCACTAGTTTGGCCAGGAGGGAATAGACCTCCCTGCATGGTCACTGACAGATGGTTATCTCATCAAATAGGCTCTCAATTAACATAAGAAAAAGAGGATCATGGGGGATGGGGTTTTAAGATATAAATAATTCAGCTCCTGTAAGAGATGTTGGAATAGAGAACACACATAATGGACATCGCACAAAATAGTTACATGTACATAACAATGAAAGACGATGCATGTAACTACGCACTGTTATATGTCATTTTATTCTTCAAATTAAAAATAATGAATTGAGAGATACCGGTAATCCATAAGCTTGGTAAAAGTTGTCTTATTTTAATACTTAAAAGTAGATAACTTGTATTGTGTCAGAGATCTTTAGAAAGGGGATTCCCCTAGTTATTTCAATCATGAGCTCGTAAGTTATATTGTATAGATGTCAGTACAATGATTGTCTTGTGATGTACATGTACGTTAATCAGTCTGTATTCTTCATATGGACAGTGTTCACCCACAAGCCAATGTTAGAGCAATGTGCCATATAATGATGCCTCAGCTTTCAATGAATTTCATGCTGCATGCTGATTTTTCAATTCAGGAATGTAGCTAAACAGTATGAAATGTTCTTTTTTATTTCTTCTCAAATGGCCAAAGTAGTAGAATAAATTGGACCTTAGTGTTTTTTTCTGCTGAAAAAAGTTTGTATGTTTTTTTTAAAAATCAGAATTGTATTATATTGGCAATGAAAGTCGCATGCTATTAATAATATGTCTTGTTTACCCAGGGTAGCCTCATCAGTATTCATACTGTTCTCCCTGAGGGCCCTGCAATCATATTATTACCCCGGTCATCGGATTCAGGCTTACCCGCACACAGTGTATGCACATTCTCCACTCCCTGAGGAGCATTCCAGCCAGGCTATTGATTGAAATATTCATGGTCTGATTCATATGTAGGTGTAAAGGCACAATTGTAGTCTTTGAAACACCATGCAACAAATCAACAAGCATGGGAATAGGAGAAAGTTAAATGTATTCAAGTCCAACATGTTATAAATCCAATGAAATTTGCAGATACTTTCATAAAACCCATCTAGTGCTAGAGACAAATTTTGAGATAAGTTTTTGTGAGCTTGCATATTTCTGAAAGGGGCTTTTATTAAAGTCTTATTTTCATAAATTGAATCCTCCCAAGCTTGGTATACAATAAGTTATTTCTCGCCATTTAATCTTCATTTGAGTTAACATTATTCTGAGATGGTATAGATATGCTGAAACTTATTCAAAGAGTACGTTTGAATACATTTAGATGTTTTAAATGCATTGTGTCAAAAATGAAAAAAGTTTTGAAGATGTATCAGAAGGAGATAACGGATTTGTTTTACTTTTATTTATCTTTTTTATATAGCTGTTGGAGACAAAAATGATGGAATATTGTTTGTCATGAAATGTCAAATTTCGTTGATGAGTCTAGAGATATTTTTGTGTTATTTTATTGTGCAGAATAGTTGCTATGAATGTCAGTATAGAATGTTTGAATATTGTCATGAAAAACGAATCAGAAATGAGAATTCAGTATGGTTCAGATGAAATTTATATTCTTCCAAAATGTTAGTCAAGTAATATTTAATATTAAAACAGATATATTAGAATAAACTTTGTCAGAAACTAATCATTGTTGTCTGTTTGCTTTATTTGCTGTTTATTGCTCAGAAAAATGTATGCTCTTTTTATTTTATGCAAAGGATTTAGAGGGATTGACATTGGTGATTTTATGTCTGTTTCGCTTTATTTAATGTTTATTGCTCAGATTTTTCAAATTTACTTTCTTGTTTTATGCGAAGGGTTCAAAGGGCTTGAAAATGGTGATTTTATTTAAACTGCATTTTAATGACCATTACCTGAGGTGTGCAGCCAACTTGCCTGTCAAACTTCATCTTTTACACTTAACATTGAACATCACATCTTTCTTTGCTTATCTGGGAACAAAATAATGCTAATATTTTGACAACAGCCTTACTGCGCAATGCAACTTCTTCTTTTTGGATGGTTTTATTCCAAAATCCACAAAATGCAAACGTACCTTTTCTGCAACAATAATCACATGAAAATGCAATGCTGAGCTTTGTCTGTCTTGTGTCATACAACATCATTACAATTATTGACATGAAAGATGTATTGCCATCAAGAAGTGTAATGTTAATATACATTTGTGAAGAAATGCTGCGTCATAATTAATATCTTAAAATGTTTTGATAGTAGTCTTCTTAAACAAAACCACATTTTTTTCAAAGATTCTA